TCCACGGAAAATTTTAGCCAAAAAAACAGTTGAGTGCACATATCGCCCTAAATTCATCGACTATAACACATCAAAAATGAAAAAAATCGTATCTCCAATTCCGAGCCCCATTTGATCTCAAAATACTTATGTTTGCCCCTTTGAACTAAATCCACGCCATTTAATATGTCAGTCACAGATACCCACCAAAAAGTTAGTTTTATCAATGAAACAAGAGTAGAGAATATTACAAAATTTCAAGTGTAACGTAATTTGTACACAATCACTGGTAGTGTGTCTTTCTCTTATTTTGGACCTTTTCTACACTGTTGTGTCCTTTTCCAAAACTGATAGGATTGAGGGCTAGACCATAGAGTAACACAGTGAATACGTATGCCATCGAAGAATAAATCTAATGTAATTCCACAGGTCGCATAAAGTACTCTATTTGAAACAAGACAAATGAATAGGAAAATATGACAAACTTTTATTCACCAGACATACACAACAGTAGTTTGTGTATACATGTTTATTTAACTCCAATTAGCACAGTTACTTTCTCTTCTTTCTAACTCTTCAGCTATATATTGCCGCAAAATCACTAATGCTAAAAATGTCAAAAAGGTACGAATGGAAGGAGTATCGGAGATGGGTAAAAAAGGAGACTAGACTTTCCCTCTGTAGACCACGAACAACCATATGGTATATGTAAAATCCTTTCTAGATGGGATCTAAGAGGGTGTCCTTAATCAAGAAATCCAAAAAATCTGGAATTGCAGTAACCGTATCCACCTGACGATTGCCATCCTTGTAAAGCTTAAATGTAGGTGCTACTGTAACTTTCTCTGCTGTAGCAATTGCTGGGCTCTGTTCCATGTCCACCTTCAGTAGAAAACATAAGAAAAAAATACAAATTAGTATGAGTTTTCTTCATTCCCCTGTTGTGCATATAATAGCAGCTTAGAGTCTAGGTGTTCCCGTCTGCCTGAAAAGCAATGATTGTTTACCTTGAGAAAAATTACTGAACGATATTTGGCGCTCAAGTTATCCATGACCGAGGACATCCACGTTCCTTGTGGTTTGGATAATTCATCAAAACAGACCACAGATGCACCTACAGTAGTTGTTAAGTTATATAGTAAATGATGTAAGGAGGAGGTTAACATATTGACCGATGCTGGAAAGCCTACCAGATGCAATCGCAGCCCGGAACTTGTCAAGATCTGAAACCAACTCCACCTTGCCATTACCTTCTCTGCGTGACTTCCTTAATTCAGCTCGGGCATGGGATAAATTTTCAGCAACCTCTTCGTTACTTGGGAGTTCCTGCCGCAGAATCTCATAATCTCTCACAGCATCAGCCCATCTTTCCAGCTATAATGCATTGGATACGATCAAATTTATGATTTTTGCAGAAAAAGTAAAAAGAAGCAATTATGATTTAAAGGTGGGGCATGGCATGTCACCTTGATATTTGAGGCAGCTTTTCGAAAAAGAGCTTTAGTATATTGTGGCCGGATAAGGAGAGCATGGGTGCAATCATCCAAAGATTTTTCCCACTCTCCAAGTTTAAACCAGCAATTTGCTCTATTGTAGTAGAGAACTGAATTTGAAGAATCAAGCAAGATCCCTTCCCCATAAGCAGTACAAGCTTGTGCATATCTTTTAGCATTAAAATGCTCGTTGCCATGAGTACGAGCTTTACCCACCAGCCTCATGTTTTTGAGTTTACCAGTAACTTCAGCACTTTGAAGATCAATTCTTGCAGCTCTTTCAATGGCAGTACACGCATCATCAAACCTGCAGATATTCAAGGATCATAATATGGCTGAACCTCTTTTATTTCTATGTTACAACCTATGGAATACTGATACTCACTTTCCAAGACTGCTGTCAATCTGAGCTTGGACAAAGAATATGTATGCTTCAGAGAGCATTCCAAAAATTTTTGACCGGCATTCTGTGGCAGATAGCTCATACGTCCTAGCTTTATAAATCCACAATTCTGCATCCTTTAATTGGTGCAGCTTCAAATGAGCTTCCGCTTGACATGCAAACAGCTGTGAATTCAATATCAGCACTTGAATTTTCATTCTCCGGTTCGTCACAGAATGTAACCACTAAAGATGCTTTACCTGAGGAGACGCATCAGCTCCAGAAGTAGTTGCTGCAACAGCTTTTTTTAACATAGTCGTCCAATCTTCAGATCTCCGGGCTACAGCGCATTTGCCGATATGTTCCTCCACTGCCTGCAACTTCTCCAACGTGGCTTGATCTGGTTTCTGATCCAGGCAATGTAAGTACTCCCTTGCATTTTCAACCTGTCCTAAACTGCAAGTTTTACAGGAATGAGATTCAGATAAGGAATTGACCGAATGCTGTGGCAAGTTCAATTATAAACTGTAAAGAAACAAAGAGGTTTGATAATAGAATTGATGGTGGAAGCTACCAACAAAGAGGGGAAAAGAAAGGGAAAAACACAACTTCTCGGAGAACAATAGAACTAAAATAACAAAACACCGAAACAGAAAATAGTTGATGGTAAAGTGCAGCCCGTTGGCACCAATCAACCATGTCCTGCATCGAGTTTGACATTTCAATGGTAATATACATACACAAAAAACATCAATCAAGAAAGTTTTACATTAGCAAATAACAAGGCCAGCAAAGATAAGCAAAATAACACATTTCCCGCGTAATATAACCTACAGAAAATTCACCACGTTTTCAATATGCGAACGGTCATGTAGATTCTAAAGATTTGTACATTATATATCACTTGCCTAAGTAACAAAGATAGTCAAAGATTTGTTGATAACTGATTCGCAAACACATATGGATTCTAAAGGTTGTATCGCCCTTTTTATATCACTTACCTAAGTAACAAGATAATCAATTATCGTATTTAACACTTAATCTCCTATACATTTGTTAACTGATTCGCGAACACACACACATAGACTCTAAACATTTCAACAATTTATAATCACTTACCTAAGTAGCACAGATTAGCACATTACAATTCACCACATTTCCAAGATTCGTTTATAACTGATTCGCGAACACTCATACGCACAGATTCTAAACAGTTGAACCTTTTATATCACTTACCTAAGTGGCAAAAATAACCAAATATAGCACGTAATTTACGATAAATTTCACAAGATTCATTGATCACGGATTCGCGAACACACAATAAAGATTATATCACTTACCAAAGTAGCAAAGTTCCCAAACGCTGGTGTGCTCGAACATATGCTGGAGATAATCTAATGGCTTCTTCACATTCCTTCACTGCTTCAATTATTCGCTTAAGACCCATTAACGCAGCAGCTCGATTACAATGAAATCTACCATCGCGCGGAGAAATTGCTATAGCTTTATCATAAAGACTCAACGCTTCTGCAAAATTACCCTTCCTGTAAATCTCATTCGCTTGTGTATTCAACTCCTCCGCACAACGGGTTCTCTGCATTGCACCACCAGGCATTATGCTTCCATAGCCGTAAATTCCGGGTATCATCTTACTGTCATTTAACACAGTCCTTTCCGGCTTACAACGCATCCCAGTTATCACGTTACCGGACGGGCAAATATTGCCGGGGGGAACTATTTTAATTCTGTTTGAACCCGACGAACTCGAAGAACTCACATTCCGACCTGATCCCGATGCAGATGAACCCGAAGTGCTCGTTGTATTACTAGAACTCATTCCACTCCTTAATGTTGAAACAGGTGAACCCAGTTTCAGTATTCGAGGATCGCCTTCCTCAAATCTCATCTGATCAGCTGAAGAGCTTGAACCCTTTTCAGAATCACTCTTCTTTTTAGAACCCCACATTTTTTTTTGAACCTACAATGTTAGAAAATTGAAAACTAATCAATAACAACAAAATGGAAAAAAAAAATCGCTTCGAAGAAGAAGAAGAAGAACAAGGACGGAGAAAAAAATGGGTTCAAACAGAATTTCTCTAAAACCCCATAAAATAATCTCCTCTTCTTCTTCTATACACATACAATTCAACAAGCTAAGATGATTTTTGAACAAATATATATACATATATCCCTTTAGAACTTCAATTTTGAACTGGGTTTTTCTTATAATTGAAAAAAATTGACTAAAACAACTTACAATGTTAGAGAATTCAAAACTGCATATCAATCATCAACAACAACAAAATGGAGAAAAAAAATGGCTCTGAAGACGAAAAACTTGGGGCAAAAGAAAGATGGGGATCTCGTGATTTCAATGGTGGAAACAAAGAACGAATGTCAGCTTTTTTCTAGAGAGAGAAACAAGCGGTTTACAGAGAGCGGTTAACAGAGCTCTCTGTATACTGTTACAGAGAATTGTTGAAGAAGGAGGAGAAAGGAGGTACTATTTATATACTACAACATGTATTAAACTAATTATTATTTTTTAATTATTATGATTTTAATTAATTTTTTCAAATATATTTTCTAAAACTAATTATTAATTAATTTAAGTTTTTGTTTGTCTCACTTGTTAGTGTAAGCTTGTTCATATTTTTTTTATAAGAGTCGCGATAAGATAATAGTTAATTTCATGTGACTCTGTTCAAAATTTCAGTAAAGAATTAAAAGGATTGCGATAAGATCATAATAATCTGACTGACTGTAATAAAATGACTGATGGTTTTCTTTCACATGGACGGTTTCGAGTTTGAGTAAAGAGGGGAGGGTCGCGATAAGATGACAGTTATCTTCAGATAACCGGTTACAAATTTTGAGTGAAAAAAGTCTTCAGATTATTGGTTCCAATTAAATCTGAATAAAGAAGAAGCGTAGCGACAAACTGATAGTCAGGATAAAACTAACTGATCATGATGAATACAATTATTATGGTTATTGTCGAGATATGACGTAGATGACTTTAAATCATATTGTGTTAAATAGTCAAATACAGTCAGTGAGAATTTATTTACTCTATTTATGATGAATGATGATTCATATAGCCGATTTGAAAATTTACATTTGATTTGTTTAATTCCTTTATTAGGAATAACTATGTACACTTGTATAGTGCGTGTGATCCTTGCACAGGGATCATGCTAATCTTTTCCGTATCGTTCCAATTTTATCGGATTGTCCCCTGGTATAGATTTGCTCATATTATCAATGGAAATAGATTTTTATTTAAAAAAAATAGGAAAAGGAACAAATATACTCTGAGCTAACGTAAATGACGTATAAATATTCTCCGTCATACTTCTGGGACATTAGTGACTCTGACGCTCAAAAACTAGCACACATATACATTTTATACTAACAGATATACACGTGTCATAATCATATCCACCGATCCAATATTTATTAAATATTGGATCGACAGATAAGATTGTGACATGCACGTGTTCTATTTAGTCTTCTGTTAGGATGAATGACATATATGAGATAGTTTTTGAATGGCATGGCACCGACGTCAGAATTGAGTATGAAGAAAGGTATGTGCATATCATTTACGATATTTTCAGAATATAATTATCAGTTTTTCCTTAAAAAAGACAGAAGAAGAGATACGACAAACAACGATTGTAATATTTAACTAAATCAATTTATAATTCATTTTCATAATATGATTATTGTTGAGACATATTACAACAAATATTGAATTATTACAAACATAAATATTAGTAAGGCGTGATAAACTAAGTAAATAACAAAATATGATGATAAAAGAAATTATATAGTCCATCCAAACTTTTAAAAGACAAAGAAGTATTATTGTTTTATTTTATTTGTCTTGACAGGAAAATATTTTTTTTAAAAAAAAAATAGCTACATATTTATATTCATATAAAAAATTACAAAATTCTACAAATTGATATTCGAGTTAAATCATAAAAAATAAGTATGATATAAACATTAGCTCTCTAAGTATATCATATGTTTTTTAGTTAATTTATTTATTGAGAACATGCATTTATTAAGTTAAAGTATTATATACTAATGGCATGTGTTAAAAATCTTTGATTATTAATTAATGGCGTGCGTAAAAAATATTATTTTAGTATTAAATATTAATCGATTTATATCAAGTTGTTGTCCTGTGATCAAAAGATCAGAAAGTTCAAGCTATCAAAACAATATATTCTATGAGTTTAACATATATATGGTGATACAAGTATCTTAAATTACGAAATGAACCTCGGTCGTTGCATCTAATATATAAGTTTGGTTTGTTTTATTCGATCCACATTCGTATTAGAGCTCGACTAATCACGATCGTATCAAGTAGTAAATGCTCTTTAAAAAAAAATTCGCAACCGTGACTCTTAGAGAAGTAGCCTCATTAGCTACACCATTTTTAGTAGTCTAATATGTTCCTTTTAAACCACCTCACGTTTATTAGAACTAATTCTGTTTTACCATAGCCATAAAATATTGAAAATAAATATAAAGAAAATAAAAAATTATTCACACTTAAAATTGGCACCAAAAACAGAAAAAAAAAATACCGTAAATAAATGATGAGATTCGTTTTTAGAGTGTTTTAGACGTAAAAGTCATAAAAGATTAGTTGATATTGAGTGTATACTTATAATTGAAATATAATTAGTTTATTATTAGTATTTTTAATGAGCATTTTGTTAAGTATTAATTTTTATTGAGTGTTAATAAGTATAAATTGTATTTTAAAAAAAATGGTAACTTGAAATATTTTGAAGACAAAAGTGTAAGTCTATTCAAATCATGGTCAAATAAATATTTGAATATAAATTTTCAAAATATCTCAAATTTTATGGTTAAACAGATATTTGAGGAAAAATTTTAAAACTTTATCAAATTTCTATTTGATTTCTTGGTCAAATTGAAATTTGAATAATTAAATTTCAAATCCAATCAAAGAACATGGTCAAACATATTTCTAAAGATAAATTTTCAAAATTAGATACAAAATCTGTAATCAAACGCTAATTTAGTTTGACTCATAAAGACAAAAAAAAATTCAGTCAAACTAAGACAAATAAATTAAAATAGATAAGCGATGGTAATTTTGCGATTACAATGAACATTTGAAAATGAACATATATATATATATATATATATATATATATATATATATAAAGGTTACCACATGTCACAAATTACACTTCACCATTTTGTTTTGGGCCCACATGGTTATGTGGCATCCACATAGACTTTTATGCTGGCCCCACCCAATATAATATATTTGTGTCACAAATAGTAAGAATATTTTTTATTTTCCTTAAAAAGTAAATAATTACTTTAATAATTACTTTTCTAGTTATACGTTATAATAATAATATCATACTTAATCTAATTTCACAAAATGAAATATAGAGAAGGTACTATACGCAGACCTTATTTTTAACCAAAAAATTTAGATATTTTTAATTGAACATCGGCTCAATATGGATTAAAGGATGTAACAAAAATGAAGAAGCTAGTAAAAAATATTAAGAATTACACTGTAAATAAATATATAATTAAAAGATAATTGAAGTACGAATTTGGAAAATAATAATAAAAATTGAGGAACAAGAAACTATATGAATAATACTACGACTATTAGTATAGAGATTAACGAGACCATATTTCTCATCTCGTTACATGTTCGAGATAAATAAATCTCGCTTCTCACATCTTTTCCTTCGCTAAAGCAACTTTCATGTTCTCTAGGGTAACTTCATTTCTAATTCTATCTCTCCTAGTATATCTACGTATCCATCTCATCATCTTTATTTCTACAACTTTCGTCTTTTGAACATGAGAGTTCTTAACTAGCCAACACTCTGGTACAACATAATTGGTCTAACAACCATCCTATAAAAACTTCTATAAGTTTTCATGACACTATTTTATCTCATAAGACTCTGGATCTGGATGTGAGCATATATTTCATCCAACCTACATCAATACGGTGTGTGACATCATCATAAATTTCCACATATATGAACTATGTTGCCTAGAGGAACTTTTTGATGACCTATGCATATGTTACAAAAAATAGAAACAACGTAAATTACAATAATAACATACTCAGTGTGTGAATATATAATTGAAGTATACGTGAAATATAAAGTATACACATATATTATTCGTATCTTATGTGAGATAATAAAATTGTTTTCGATAAATCCTCGCTCAATACTCAAAAAAAATTAAGGTCTATTAAAAATAATATTTTTACTTCTAAAATAAAGATAGTATAGCTATACATTAAATCTTTTCTACACCTCACTTTATAAAATTACACTGATTTTCAAAAACACATTTAGAGAACACAAAAGCAAACAAAGCACTGATAAAAACTAAACTTAAATATTAATAATAAAATAGTAAAATAATCAAATAAAAAGAACTAATTGCACTAATTAAAAATTTGCATTGGAAGTAAAAAAAAAATGTTGCTTGTATTACATGCAACGTGTTGCTATAAACAGAATCTTTTTTGTTTTGTTTTTCTAGTGGATAACAACAAAAGATTCATGATGCATACGATAAAATCATAAAATATTACTTTCTCCGTTTAATAATAATTGTTTATTTAATTAACTAATTAAATCGCACAATAATATAATAAGGAGTGTTCTTAATTACTTAATCTATCAAAAACTAGTATTATACTCTTAATTGCCCATAATTATACTCTATATAGCAAATGTTTTTGTCATCACGGATCATTTGGTTTGTAGTAAATGTTTTTATCTTTACACAAATTAAATGAACCATAAAAATAGTAAGATAATTAAAGCAAAAGATATATACTAATTTTTTATTTTTTTTTTACTCTTTGTAAGTTAATCAATGACGACTTTTTGAAAAAGTATTTTCAAAAAATAATTGAAATTTATTCCTTAGTTAGAAATATTTTTCATAGGATGAAGAATATATAAAGTTGAAATTAATTAATGGGATTTTCTTTAAAAACTTTCTAATTATAGTTAACCTCAAGCGAGATTTAAATCCTGGTCTAGAGTGTGGTATCTCTATATTCTACCAATTGTCAAAGAGCACTTTAATGTTTTTTATGGGTGCACTGTTGACTATATGTTACTTTCTACCAGTTTTTCAAAATAGATATACATATGCACAAATGATTTTTTCGAAAGTTACTGGGTGCACGTGCACCCCCACGGCATAGGGTAGGTCCGCCCCTGACAACAAATTAAATATTCTTTAACAAATGTGTCGTTGTCTATTTCGGATTAATTTTGTACTCACTTCGTTCCATTTAGGCGCCATCGTTATTATTAGGTTTCACGTTTTTTTTAAGAAACTAAGTAAATTTATTATTGTTCTCTAGACGTCATATTTTCAATAAATAAACAAGAATTAATTTTGTTTTTATTGATTAAGGTGATCAATAAACATGAATTAATAACTTAGTTTTCCTATATTGAGTCAAATGCATACTTTCAAAGGTAATAGCTCTCAAGGGTAAAATAGAAAAAATAATGTTATTTGTACACTGATTTGAAATAACAAGTACTCCCTCCGTTCGGTATTGTTTGTCAAGTTGCACTTTTCGAAAGTCAATTTGATTAATTTTCAAAGTTAAATTAGATCACATTAATTCGATATTTTAAATAAAAAAATAGATATTTTAAAACTATATGAAAAGTACTATAATTGCAATTTTTTACATATTAATATGATTTAAAATATTAATCAATTTTTTTATAATTTAACTCAAAAAATAAAAATCGTGATAAACAATATCGGATGGAGCGAGTATTAATAAACATATATATTTAGTAATCAATCATTAGTTTGTCGGATTTTCGTATGACAAAAACTGTTGATTGGCTCTTTTATTTCACAGAAAATCATAGCAACTTTAGATATATTATTAAATACATAAAGTTTAGTATATTTAATTGTTTTTGTTTTATCTCACTCTTACGTACACTTTTCACGTGTTCATGCAACTCAATTTCTTTTACAATATAATAATCTTCTCTGCGTTTTAAAAAGAGTAATTTAGTTTGATTGTCATAGAATTTGATGGAAAAAAATTGAATCTTATTATCACAAATTAAAATTATGTCAAAATATGTAACTTTTTCTCCGTTCAGTATTATTTGTCATGTTTTTATTTTTAGAGTCAAACTATAAAAAATTTGACTAATATTTTAAGATGTATTTTTTCGTCATATTAATATGCAAAAAAATTGCAATTTATAACACTTTTCATATAGTTTTAGAATATCTAATTTTTTTTAAAAAAATAATCGAATTATTGTGATCTAATTTAACTTTAAAAATTAGTCAAATTAACTTTCGAAAAGCGCAACATGACAAGTAAAAATGGACAAAGAGAGTATTATTCTTTAATCTTGTGATTTTAAACATTCCATGTAAAAAAATTAAAATTAAAATATTACCAATAATTATTGCCGTTAAAAGAAAAATCTTTTGCCACTAATAGTTCCTTTGTTGTAGTGTCAACTAAAATGGGTTGAGATTTATATAAATGGTCCTATTTCTGTTGTTGTTGTCTAACTTGGATTTCCGAATCCGAACATTGTAAAGTTAAAATCGTGAATTCGTCTGTAATCGAGAATGTATTTTATCAAGGACATTCTCCAAGATAAAAAGATGTGGATGTCTAGGATTTAAAGGTTAGTAACGTAGTCAAGCATCACAGCTCTGTAATTCGGATTAACGCTCGTTTATACAAATAACAATCTATGTTGCTCGTACTCTCCAAAACTAATACTTTTATTTCCTCTCCCTAATGTCGCTCGTTTGCCACGAATCCAAGATAGAGTAACACAGTCGAAGAAGATATAATAGAGTTGATCATCAACAACAAGAATACATCCAATGTAATTTCACAAGTCGCATAACGTACAAATGAATAGGGAAAAATGTATACATGTTATGATCTAGTTCCTCTAACTCCAACCAGCAACAGCAACTTTCTAACTCTATAATCTTCACTAATGCTTCTAAAATGGAAGAGTATATTGGAGATAAGGAACAAAATGAACGAATAGACGAGGGTAAAATCCTTTCTAGATGGGATCGATGAGGTTGTCCTTAATCATGATCTCCAACACATCTAAAGTTGCGGTACCCACACGACTACCATCCTTGTAAAGCCTAAACCTAGGTAGTGTTGTAATGTTCTCTGCTGCAGCTCGGCTCTGTTCCACGACCACCTTCAGAAAAGACCAAATATAAATTAGTATGAGTTTACTTCAGAAAAGCACAACGTGTTGCCTATGATTGTTTACCTTGAGAAAAATTACTGAAGGATATTTGGCGCTCAAGGTATCCATGACCGAGGACATCCATGCGTATTCTGGGTTGGTTAATTCATTGAAATAGACCACAGATTCACCTACATGAGTACATAGTTGATCGAGTTACTACTGATCGAGTTACATACTGACTGATGCAGGATTTTTAAAGCCTACCAGATGCAATCACAGCCTGGAACTTCTCAACATCTGAAACCAACTCCACCTTCCCCTCTGGAGCTTCTCTGCGTAACTCAACTCGGGCATGGGATAAATTTGCAGCAACCTCTCGGTCACGTGGAAGTTCCTGCCGCAGAATCTCATAATCTCTCACAGCATCAGCCCATCTTTTCAGCTGTAATGCATCGCATACGATCAAATTTATGATTTTATCGAGAAAAAAGTAAGTGAAATGAACCAATTTATATCGCACCTTGATATTTGAGGCAGCTCTTAGGTGTAGAGCTTTAGCATATTGTGGCCAGTATAGGAGAGCACGGTTGCTATCAGCCAGAGATTTTTCCCACTCTCCAAGTTTAGACCAGCAAGCTGCTCTATTGTAGTAGAGAACTGGATTTGAAGGATCAACCCAGAGCCCTTCCCCATAAGAAGTACAAGCTTGTTCATATCTTTCGGAACAAAAATGCTCGTCGCCATGTTTATGAGCTTCAACCACCAGCCTAATGTTTTCAAGTTCATCAGTAACTTCATCATTTTGATTATCAATTTGTGCAGCTTTTTCAATGGCAGTAACCGCAGCAGCAAACCTGTAGATATTTATGATCATAATATGGCTGAACCTCTTTTGTTTCTATATACTACTACGTGCAATACTCACTTTCCAACACTGCTGTGAATCTGAGCTTGGACAAAGAATACGTATGCTTCAGAGACCATTCCAAAAATTTTTGACTGTCGTGCTGTGAATGGCTTATGCATCCTAGCTATATAAATCCACGTTTCAGCATACTCTATGTCGTTTAGCTTCAAATGAGCTTCCGCTCGACATGCAAATAGCTTCAAATGAATTTTCATTCGTCAGTCACAGAATGTACGTAACCACTAAATACAAAGAGATGCTTTCTTTTACCTGAGGAGATGAATCAGCTCCAGAAGTAAATGCTGCCTTAGATTCTATTTTCATAGTCGCCCAATCTTCAACTCTCCGGGCTTCAGTGCATTTGTTGATATGTTCCTTCACTGCCTCCAACTTCTGCGACGTTGCTTCATCTGGTTTGTGACCCAGGAAATATAAGTGATCTGTTGCATTTTCAACCTGTCCTAAACTGCATGTTTTACAGGAATTAGAGGGCAAAACACAATCAACACATATCCAGTTTTACATGAGCAAAGATAATCAAAGGCTTACCAAAGTAACAAAGAGGGGGAAAAGAAAGACTTCTCGGAGAACAATCGAACAAGAAAACAACGAATTCAGAAAATAAGTGCTCCCTTGCATTTTCAACCTTGTCCTAAACTGCACTTTTTACAGGAATTAGAGGGCAAAACACAATCAACACATATCCTGCATCCAGTTCTAGATTAGCAAAGC